CTCTGGGAATCAAACCACAGCGAGAAAATCCCCGTAAACGGTCTCCGATGGCCGGTTTTATCGTCAGAGCAAAAACATATTGATATTGACTCCATATCCAGGAGATATATAGTCGAAATTATGGTCAAATTTCATTTTCCGTTATAGCAGTCGACTAAGTACGATGTAAAGATCGCATTGTTATTCTTCGAGTATTATTAAATCCTTTGGTTTTATTGGGCATATTTCGATATTGTTGTAGTTGATATTCTTCCTCCAAAAAAAATTCAAAACCTAAGTACAAAGCTTTGGTTAAGTTAATATATAGTAGTTTGATTTTTGCTAGTCAGATGTATGTTCGAGCTAATTATGCTACATGTAAATTTTAAAAAAAATGTAGGTTACGCCGGATGACAGTACATATATTGATTCGGAAGGCTAAAATGGCGACCACAGGTTAAGATCAATTACCAATTAGTTACAAAGGCAGCACTTCAAATAATGAAATAAATACTTCTCAGTCTTCACAGAGTTGCGTTGAAATAGTAGTTGATATGGTTTCAAGAAGTTATAAAATGTTGTCTTACCACCTGAAGGTATCTCAGTTCTTAGTACATATTAATCATATTAATAGCAAATTTACATACATAATAACAACCCCTGTACATGTATGGTACACACAGGAAGATATATGTATAAGAATGTCTAGACGTAAGACATTATTCTTCCAATGATTGTAGAACACCAGTAATAAACTATCATCCCATAGATCTACACACTCTAAGTCTTGTATAAGGTAGATTAACATGGAACTGTAATCATATGTACCAATTGTTTTTTTTTTATTAATTCAGAAACACAATGATGATTACAAATGAAAAGACATGGACTATTAAAGTAACTGCGAACTCAAGTTAGGTACAGCTTATTATATTCTCGCAGCCACTTTTACAATGAAAAAAAATTACAAGACGTTTCAAAATACATGAGAGTTTGAAATATTTTACAAGACGTTTGAAAATACACAACCAATTGTTGTGATAAATATGTTGAAATAATAAAGTTTACTGCCACATCTTGATACGTCCCTCCCATGGTACCCACATGTGGCTCCGCTAAACTACCCCTGGTATCACCATTGCGAACTGACCGGTCCTCACTTTCCCACACTCCCCTACTCCAGCCACATCCCTCCCGCGTACACATGCTACCAATTACCGAGCAATTACCGACAGAGCTCCCCGGGCCTCGCCCCGCCACGCTTCGGCACCGGAACCTCCCGAACACCGACGAACAGTGTCGCCGGCCCGCCTACGGGAACTCACGACGAACTCCGACCACAACTTCACAAAACGGGCGCTTGAACTCTTGACCTGTCTTCAAATCTGTTTTTAATTCTGCCCCCCCCCCTTCCATCCCTTTACAAGTTGTTACATAGCGATAGAAGTCATATTACCCACACCCTACCTTTCCTTTTTATCGTTACATTGTCACATTTGTAATTTCTATACAAACTGGGACTGTACAATATCCAATGGTTTTGTGACAGTTGCGAAACTAATCAACTTATAGTCTCCTTTCAAGAAACTGCCCCCCTCCCCAATAACTTACGAAAGACCAGACGTAAGCCGGCTTCATAATTTCTGTTAGTAGCTATAAAAATCATACACATGAAAAAACATGTTTAGCAGAAATAATATGGTAGATTAACTAAGTAAGAAAGATTATGATTTTTCATAAATGTATATGTATATGATTGTATGTTATCTGTAAATCTTAGATAAACCTTGTAGTAATCAAAGGACCACAAAATTAAATATAAAAAATGAAACGTCATGATATGTTTTGAATTGAAAGATTATTCGCATGCAGGCTAGAACGACGCATCTGATACGTGAAAACAGCCTAGATCCGAAACGAGCAAAAGACGTTTAATCATTCGTTGATTTTTTTAAATAAAAAAACTATACTTTTCTAACATGGATGTTAAAAATTTCCTACATTTCAAGGCTACAAAATATAAGTGACGTCCTGGGCGGTATCTGGGGGTTGTTTTCAATAGATAAACAAGTGATTAGAACCTCATAATCAAGCTCATTAGCGTATTGGTGGGAAACTCCCAAGAAAAACATACCCCCCGTAAACATGTCGGGACTCTGACAAAGGGGAAGCCATGCGGTTGTTTATTTATTTACGACGATAAGCAAATATAACGGGCACATTAACAGCCACTTGATGACACGAGGGGCTGTTTGTTTAGACTTTGTTCAGTCTGCGGGAATTGGTGTAAACAACCCCGCCACTGGGAAGATTCCATTGTTTAATAAGGATAATCCTTCTATCTGTTTGTCTGGGCCTCAAAATCCATTGAAAGTTCAATTTTATCGTAGGATTCGCTGTTAGCGATATGCTTGTAGATTGTAAAATCCATACGGAACTAGATACTAGGTTTCTTTTATAAGAAGTCGAGATAAATTAAAAGTTTCAAAGGTTACATTTTACACCAGCTGAATTGTACGGGCTGTCATTTCTTATTCGCATACTGGTAGCAAAAAAAACGATATAACTGCAGTCAATTTTAAAACAACTAGGGAAAACTATGCATATCTCTCGTCACCTTCATCGCTATGTGATGAAATTATCATTGTTTGGATTTTTTTTCCAAATACGAACACGGTATTTTGCCAATTACATAATAGACTATGCAATGTATTTTCAAATGTTACACTTACAGTATCTTATGGAGAGAAATGCAGACCCTTCGCTCAGAGTTAACCATGATTATATCCTATTCCCTCACACAAGTGCATATGTGTGCCTGTTGTTCAATTTGCGGTAGGACAAGAATTGAAGTGGCCCTTAGCGATAACCTCTGTCACTGAGCACTTTAGTTGGCAGTGGACAAATACTTCCTGTAGACGCCCCACCCCAATTTTCCCAAGACTGTGGCCCATATTGTTGACCGCCAGTTTTGAAGCCCTTTCCCCTTCCACTCAATTATATTTTACATATCTACCACCACATTTACTAATATTTTTCGTACACAAAAACACTTTTCACTAAGATGTTATTTCTTACTCCCATTTTTCTTTGTCTCTTACACTTGTTAAAATCTGTCATCCAAACGTAGCCTTGGCAACGCATACCTTCTGGAAAACGGAGCTCCTGAGAAATCAAACATCGGAGCAAGTTATAACTCAACAAGTCAACACTTGTCAGCCGGGTGGTGCTTATGAAGGGAAACTGAGTCCTCCCAGGCGGAACGAGTTTTGGTAAGGCACCAGACTGAAGTTGACGGCCGCGATTATTTCCCGCGACTCCCGCTTGTTGACGGACGTCCTTCCGAAAGCCGACAACACTCGTCAAAACCTGGCCGAAAACCGTCACAACTTCTCCTAAATATGTCAGCCAGCAAATTATAACCACATGGTCCTTCCGCGCGTAAATATAGACATTATGAGAGGGTTTAAAGTCGGGCATGTGTGTTTTGAAGTGCGGGTTATTGTAGAGTTGTCCCGACCGCGTGTTTCATATTGGTCCTTGTATCGCCGGGGGCGACAGCGAACAGCAAACTGTTATGCACTTCGCAATTGCAGCCGTCTCTTGCCTCCGACTATCCCACGATATCGGGTACCCCAATTAACGGCCTGTGTCTTAATAAAGGAAGTTCCTTGGCCGCTGCTATGGAGCGTATGTGGCGGTATGGGAGCCGTCAGGACGGCAAACTGTCGGCAGACGTCAACCTGGGTGTAAGGCCGTGTGTTCTCTCATGTCAAAACACAGTTGGGTGAAGTCTGGTGTCTGATTCTAAAAACTCACGCGGGAACAACCTGTGAAGGTTGGAGGAAGTAGCCGAGTCGATTTATTCCATAATTAGCTCTGTCAGCGAAGCAGAGGTGTCGAAAATATTGAAGAGGGCAAACCGTTCTCAGAGATCTCGGGTGTTGTTTCTGAGATAAGATCTCTATCAAAAAAACGGTCCCGACATAGGAACCACGCTGGGGGAAGATCCGTCGGGTCTTGAAGCACTTACCGACCCGAGAGTTTGATATGCCCGGGCCGGGTCTGCCGTCAATCCGGCCTGGTGTCCCTGTCACGGGACCTCCGACTCAATTTCGGGAGGTAGATTCCGCGAATACCGCTGGAGTTGGAAAACTTAGCGAGTTATGCTCTCTTCGCATTTCTTACGATGTTCTGCGGTTTGTTTCACAAGCTGAAGTTTCTGACGTCTACCGGAGACAAACTTCCCGCCTGGCCCTCCTACTGCTCTCCAGAAGAACAACAAACATTGGACAAGTGATACTGTCGGGAAGTCAATCATGGGGCGATTCCCGATGGGAATTTTCGACTTAATCGTTTGAGCCCCTGACAGGGGATTTACGGAAACCCCGCTACTAAACATCGTCAGGTAAGTCGCCATCTTGATTATCACCTCACGCATGCGTGGAGAGTTGTTTCTGAAGAAGTGTGGTCTGAGATGATGAGACCATGATCGGAACAATCTTGCGGTAAAAGTCAATTGAGACTTCAAAGCTCGCGGCCGTATTGAGATAGCTGGCTGCCAAGTCGTTATAGCTTTAGATTGCGGCATGCGCTTTACAAATTCTCACAACCGCTCAAAATTGCCTAATGTTCCTTAACATGTTTCGCACTTTAATTTGCCGAAAATGGGTCGACTAGGACAATGGAAGAGTGGTGGTCCCTTTTGAAGGGTCCGCAGTGCGTCCAGTCCTTTCATATGGTAAACTTATGGTTTCCAACGGTGTTATGAGATGATCTACCCCCGAAGGGATCTGGTCTGAATTTTGTGTAATTGGAAGCGACGATTAAGACTTTGCGGGAAGAGTCTTTTGACATTAATCTATGTGTAGGAGGGGGGTCGGCACCATTTGTGTTGGGATTCTCCTATTCATCATGTGTCATCGAATATGACGGGAGCCACTCTCTGATTGGTCGACGGCACGCGCCCCTCCCTATATAGCCTCTCTCAAAGTGTCTTGTTTTCGGATGGATGGCAAATTATCGGCTGCTGGCTTCTCAAAGTTTAACGTCGCAGGTTTTCCCTGGCCGGAACTGGCAACCTGTTTCCTACAATCACTGTCAGTTCTAGAGGAAACACGGAGCTAAGTGATTCAAGCTCTCCGATCTGAGGGGAGTTACTTCTAGGCAGCGAAGTTTGAGGACAGGACGATTGTAAGTAGGAGTAATCGTGAGTGACATTTGGCAGTCGTGTGCGACTTCGGTCCCTTCAGTACAGGGTCGAAGTTGTTGAGTAGAGAAGTGAGTAGGAGGATCGGAAGATGGCTAACAGTAGCGCGGCTGAGAACGGAGCCCCGGCCAGCCCGGCCAGCCCGCCGCCGCCGCACAGCCCGGTCCAGCCCGAGGACAGCCCCAGCCCTGACGGCCCGAGAACCACCAACTTCTCCATCGCCAACATCCTCCGCCCGGAGTTCGGCGCTCGCAAGAGAGACAGTAAAAGTTGTGACTCCTCTCCCGTGTCCAGCCCGGGCAAACCGGCCCCGGCGGATCTGTCCCCGTCCCTCCCGGCCAGCCCGGGGGGAGTCCCACAGGAGAACACGACGACGGCCGATGGACTCCGGCTCGAAGATGACTCCGCCAAGCCCGTTACCGCAGACGATAAGGACGGTAAGCCGGTGCCCCAGCCCATGATCTGGCCGGCGTGGGTCTACTGTACCCGGTACTCGGACCGCCCATCTTCTGGTAAGTTACTGAGTACAACTCTCCTAACATGTGTGCTAATCTGTTATCTACATGTTAGTACTTTTTTCTTAGCTAGGACATACAGGCAGATTAAGTCTTGTCCCGTTTAGGTGTCAGACGCATTCTTTCTACCGTATGTTGCCGTATCCTACACAGACCCAGAGCACCGTGAAGCCAAAATGACAGACTAGAAAAGTCTCGCGGCTCTTTCATGATCGGGAGACAAAGTTGTTAGAGCGTGCCCACATTCTAAACCCAGACCTACGCTCTAACCTCGGCCCACACTCTAAACCCAGGTCCAACTCTATACCCATGCCCACACTATAGACTCTAGTCTAGACCCAGATACAACATTTTCATATCTGCTAAAATCCCCCCCTCATATCCTTACAAACTAGGCCAATAATTCTTACCGATATCTCGGCTTCAGAAACGTTTCTATTATGCGGCGTTGTTGCTATCTTGGTTCAAAAATCTATATCATTATTAAAACAGTCCGCTTGTGGGGTAGTCTGAATACTGCATCACTACAACAGACAAAGGGTTGGATGAGAGACGAGGCATCCCCTGGCCGCGACTATCTCCCTACCTGACACACAGTCGCCCGCAAAGCTCATGATGTACGACATGCCCTGATTGTTCGGCTCGTCTTTTGTACAGACCAGGAGGAAATTACCTGGTAGCTCGTCTCTCCTGGCCCTGATAACATCCCCGCATTTGTGCCATAATAAGTGGTTGTTAAGTAATAAACGTGGGGAGGGGAATTTTTTATTAGTAAATGATGGGGTGGAAACGACGCTTTTATAACGTGAGTGTTTGTCTGTGAGCTTTAGGGGATGTACGGAGTTGGGTACTTAGATCAGTCTCTGTCTTGTGTTATCTCACTGATTTTTTTATGAACATAACGTCAGAACGGCGCTCACTGTATGTAAATTCCATGGAATCATCACTGGTCAGAAATCCACACAAGACTTTACATTTCTCAGAACAACACAGAAAGCCTGTTACAAGAGGTGTAGAAATAAACAGTGTAGCCACAAGTTTCCCCAAACCTTCTGCCATGAGGTGGCCAGTGTCTTCTTGTGCCCACAGTTTTGCTTCAAACGAAAATCAAAACAAGCAGGCAAATGGTTTTTGCCGGAAGAGACTCACTCTATCAATTTGGATGAAGCGATTTCTCTAAACCTCGCCTGACAGTCTGTCAAAGGTAACCATTTCTTTTCAATAATGTCCGTCCCGATTGACTGCTTTCGCGAAGAACTTGGGCCGTTTTGTGCCAGGTTTGGTTAGCCGGCGGAATCATTGCAAATGGCTCAGAAAATCCCGTTTTAAAACCGTGCTCGATATGAGTTATATCTTCCACCGTATGTTTCCACGCAGAGGTCTCCTTTGCTACACCCTAACATTTGAACCACACTAATGCCTCCAGCTCTTCTAAACACTCAGAAATACAATATGGCCATGAGTGAGATTTGTGGTATTAGGCTTGACTTTCCCTCCCAGGCCTCGGCTTTGTTTTATACGATGATTTAAGGATTGTACTAGCGGCTAAATCCGATATTAAAACCCGATTAGATTTTACATGTAAATGGCCCCAACAGATGTCCACTTGGTCGGCTGACAGTTGCACAGTTCCCCAGGCACGACAAGTCACTTCTAATATTGAGGTTCCTGTTTGAACCTTACAGCTGTGACATTGTAGCAAATTCATTCTTCTTTAACGATTTGTTTTGATAAAAAAATGTTGTTAACCTTATATCAGAAACAAGGGTCTACATAGCAAGAAATTCAAGAATACAG